ATACCTGTATATCGGTGTGTTACTTGTTCTAGAGAATGTGTTGATTATGTGGAACACCTGTATATCGGTGTGTTATTGTTCTACCGGATGTACCCGTATATGGTTAGTGTAGAAACACCTGTATATCGGTGTGTTACTTGTTTGACAGGATGTATTGATGGTGATGAAAACCTATATATCGGTGTGTTTGTTGTCTTACAGCTCTATTTGGTGGTTCCGAAATACCTGTATATCGGTGTGTTACTTGTTCTACAGGGATGTGTTGATTATGTGGAACAACTATATATTGGTGTGTTACTTGTTCTACAACATGTTTTGGTTGTTGGGAACACCTGTATATCGGTGTGTTACTTGTTCTAGAGAATGTTTTTGATTGTGTGAAACACCTGTATATCGGTGTTTTATTGTTCTACAGGATGTGTTGGTAGTTTGGAACACCTGTATATCGGTGTGTTATTTGTCCTACAATAAGTATTGGTGGTTGGGAACACCTATATGGGTGTGTTATTGCTCTACGGGATGTGTGGATGGTGTGAACACCACCTATATGGTGTCTTTGTTGTTCTACAGCTCTATTTGGTGAGTGCTCGGAACACCTGTATATCGATGTGTTACTTGTTCCACAGGATGTGTTGATGGTGGTGTCGGAACAACTATATATTGGTATGTTACTTGTTCTACAACATGGTGTTTTTGTTGTTGGGAACACCTTTATATCGGTGTGTTACTTGTTCTAGAGAATGTTTTGGTTGTGGGAAACACCTGTATATCGGTGTGTTATTGTTCTACAGGATGTGGTGGTGGTTTGGAACACCTGTATATCGGTGTGTTATTTGTCCTACAATAAGTATTGGTGGTTGGGAACACCTGTATATGGTGTGTTACTTGCTCTACGGGATGTGGTGGATGGTGTGAAACACCTATTGGTGTCTTTGTTGTCCTACAGCTCTATTTGGTGGTTCGGAACACCTGTATATCGATGTGTTACTTGTTCCTACAGGATGTGGTGATGGTGTGGGGAACAACTATATATTGGTGTGTTACTTGTTCTACAACATGTTTTTGTTGTTGAGTGGAAACACCTTTATATCGGTGTGTTACTTGTTCTAGAGAATGTGGTCTGGTGGTGTGAAACACCTGTATATCGGTGTGTTACTTGTTCTACAGGATGTGTTGGTAGTTGGGAACACCTGTATATCGGTGTGTTATTTGTCCTACAATAAGTATGTGGTGGTGGGAACACCTGTATATGGGTGTGTTATTGCTCTACAGGATGTGGATGGTGTGGAACACCTGTATATGGTGTATGTTACTTGTCTACAGGGTCTTGTGGTGGTGGTTCGGAATACCTGTATATCGGTATGTTACTTGTCCTACAGGGTGTGTGGTGGTGGTTGGGAACACCTGTATATCAGTATGTTATTGCTCTACAGGATGTGTTGTGGTGTGGAACACCTATCGGTGTGTTTGTTGTCTTACAGGGTCTGGTGGTGGTTCGGAACACCTGCATATCGGTATGTTACTTGTCCTAGAGGGTGTGTTGATGGTGTGGAACACCTCCTATATCGGTATGTTACTTGTTCTACAGAGGGATGTGGTGGTTGTGTAGAAACACCTGTATATCGGTGTGTTACTTGTTTGACAGGATGTGTTGATGGTGTGGAACACCTATATATCGGTGTGTTTGTTGTCTTACAGCTCTATTTAGTGGTTCCGTGCTACTTGTCCTACAACATGTGTTGGTTGTTGAGAACACCTTTATATCGGTGTGTTACTTGTTCTACAGGATGTGTTGATGGAGTTGAACACCTCTATATTGGTGTGTTACTTGTTCTACAACTTGTGTTGGTTGTTGGGAACACCTTTATATCGGTGTCTTGCTTGGTCCACAGTATGTGGTGGTGGTGGGAACACCTTTATATCGGTATCTTACTTGTCCTACAGTATGTGTTGGTGGTGGGGAACACCTTTATATCGGTATGTTACTTGGTCCTACAGGGTGTGGTGGTGGTGGGAACACCTTTATATTCGGTGTATGTTACTTGTCCTACAGGGTGTGGTGGTGGTGGGGAACACCTGTATATTGGTATGTTACTTGTCCTACAGGGTCTGGTGGTGGTTGAACACCTGTATATTGGAACACCTGTATATGGTGGTGGTGGGGAACACCTGTATATCAGTATGTTACTTGTCCTACAGGGTCTTGTGGTGGTGGTGGGAACACCTTTATATCGGTATGTTACTTGTCCTACAGGGTGTGGTGGGGAACACCTGTATATTGGTATGTTACTTGTCCTACAGAGTCCTGTGGTGGTGGTGGGGAACACCTGTATATTGGTATGTTACTAGTCCTACAGGGTCTGGTGCTGGTGGGGAACACCTGTATATTGGTATGTTACTTGTCCTACAGGGTCTTGTGGTGGTGGGGAACACCTGTATATCGGTATGTTACTTGTCCTACAGGGTGTGGTGGTGGTGGGGAACACCTGTATATCGGTATGTTATTTGTCCTACAGGCTGTGGTGTCTTTGGTGAACACCTATATATCGCTATGTTATTTGTCCTACATGGTATGTTGGTGGTGGAGAACACCCATATACCGGTATGTTATATGTCGTACAGGGTCTGGTGGTGGTGGTGGTGAACACCTATATGTTGGTATGTTACTTGTCTTATAGGGTGTGGTGGTCGTGGGGAACACCTGAATATCAGTATGTTAAGTGTCCTATAGGGTGTGGTGGTGGTGGGGAATACATGTGTATTGGTATGTTACTTGTCCTACAGTATGTGGTGGTGGTTGGCAACACCTGTATATCGGTTTGTCACTTGTTCTAGAGAATGTGTTGATTATGTGGAACACCTGTATATCGGTGTGTTATTGTTCGACGAGATGTGATGGTTCTGGGGAACACCGTATATATCGGTATGTTACTTGTCCTACAGGGTGTGGTTCTCGTGGGGAACACCTGTATATCGGTATGTTACTTGTCCTACAGGGTGTGGTGGTCGTGGGGAACACCTGTGTATTGGTATGTTACTTGTCCTAGATGGTCTGGTGGTGGTGAACACCTGTATATCGGTATGTTACTTGTCCTAGACGGTCTGGTGGTCGTGGGGAACACCTGTATACCGGTGTGTTATTTGTCTACAGGGTGTAGTGGTGGTGGGGAACACCTGTATACCGGTGTGTTATTTGTCTACAGGGTGTAGTGGTGGTGGGGAACACCTATATACCGGTGTGTTATTTGTCTACAGGGTGTAGTGGTGGTGGGGAACACCCATATACCAGTGTGTTATTTGTCTACAGGGTGTAGTGGTGGTGGGGAACACCTATATACCAGTGTGTTATTTGTCTACAGGGTGTAGTGGTGGTGGGGAACACCCATATACCAGTGTGTTTTTTGTCCTACAGGGTGTGGTGGTGGTCGTGGGGAACACCTGTATATCAGTATGTTATTTGTCTACAGGGTGTAGTGGTGGTGGGGAACACCCATATACCAGTGTGTTATTTGTCCTACAGGGTGTGGTGGTGGTCGTGGGGAACACCTGTATATCGGTATGTTATTTGTCTACAGGGTGTAGTGGTGGTGGGGAACACCCATATACCAGTGTGTTATTTGTCCTACAGGGTGTAGTGGTGGTCGTGGGGAACACCTGTATATCGGTATGTTATTTGTCCTACAGGGTGTGGTGATGGTCGTGGGGAACACCTGTATATCGGTATGTTATTTGTCCTACAGGGTGTGGTGGTCTTGGGGAACACCCTCTGTATCTGCGTGTTACTTCGCCAACACGATGTAATGCTGGTGTGGAACACGTTTTCTTGCTTAAAATGTATCAGATGTTTTTTTCTTAACAATGTTCAGCTTTGCACAAGATACATATGAATGTAGATGGCAGTGAGAATGTAAGTCAATGCTTTATTCAACATTGCTGAACAATTCCATCCACTCACATACGTAAACGTCCCGCGTATAGGTACGTGTTCTAGACAGTGATGTGAGACTTTTGACAGTGGGACCCTTGAAGACGGCCGCTATACCTATCTGTATATTAGCTGACTTGGTCCTGTCCCAGTCACGTGACTAAACCATGACCTGTCATAAGCGCGTTATCCACTTGAAGTGATGTCCAAGAGGTCAGGGTGCGGCCTACCTTTGCGACAGAACAGGTGCAAACTTTGACGTCTAATCAAAATAATTGATAGTGTTGGTCTTTTCAGTGTGCCCAGCCAACCTCCGAGGACGTGTGTTGAACTGATAGCGTGGTGAGTACACTCTCACCACATGATGTGACCGGTCATTGTTGGAAACCAGTGCCATAGCTGCATTCAAGACAGTTTGTATTTAAACTTCTGGCAATAGCTGATGAACAATATCGGAAATCCACTAAGACTTAAGTTAAGAGTAAATTAACTGACAACTGGGCTCATTTTAAAATAGATGGCATGAATGGATGTAGTTGTTCAGCCTTATGATACAACAAGCTCATTGTTAAGGCAATCTTTAAGATCCAAACTCCAGCAGGAAATACGTACTGAGAACGACAACGATTTTAGACTTTTCTGCAAAAAAGATTTATGAAACTTTGAAATAAGGCCCGTCCGACCACCCGACACCGGTTAGATTTCAGCCGGATGGTCTGATAAAATTTTTAGATAACATGTTCCGTACATCTGAGTCATTTTCTTTGGATTGTCTGGTCAGGTTCAATCCATTTGGGGCGGGTAACATTTTGAAGTTACCAGTCCCGTCTGGCTTGAACCTCATCTCTGATTCTGACACAGATGGATGACTTCGATGTATGACATGATGTTGTTTAGCTTCAGACGTCTTCTCGGCACAATGCACGTGTGTTTGATGGTAATAGCTGGGTGTTTGGCTTATTTCATATGTCGCTTTTGGCTTTTAGACGTCTTTTCGTGTGTTTGATGGTGTCAGTCAACAGCATGGTATTCAGCTAGAACCTCATCGCTGATTCTGATACAGATGGATGACTTGGATGTATGACATGATGTTGTTTGGCTTTAGACGTCTTCTCGGCACAATGCACGTGTGTTTGATGGTAATGGTTGCCCTACTGGGCGTGGCCTATGGCGTGGTGGTTCTGAAAGAAGCATCATATCTGAGACTCCCTAACCGTAACGGCCAGTACGTCGTCAACAGCAGAACAGCCAGGGAGAGCGCCTATGATGACACCAGGAATTACCTCTATGTTGTTGGTGAGTCCTGTATTTCGTATACCTTGCTGTCGTAGTGATGCAGGTTTGGATAGAATACATCAGAATACGAGCGACAAACACCCATCTGGTTTTTAACATGTCAGTTTTACATTGTCAGGTCGTGACACGGCTATGTTGCACGTCATCTCCCTCGCCGACCCCGCCAACCCACAGGAAGTCTACACTTACAATTTCGACACTGCCAGCGACGGCCGCCCCTTGACGTGGAGTTGTGTCGGGCGTCGGAGTCACACCCACACTTGCCATCACCTTTGACGGTCAAGATTCTGTGGCGTTTGAAGGACACGTCGTTCTTTACAACCTGTTTGAGAGCAGCACAGATACACTCACTCCCCTCAACCCAGTAGATCCCAGGATTACCGGTCAGTTGAAATCTTTGTAACTGAATTTACAAAGTCACTTCGAGCTTTCCCCTGCACGTTAAAGTGACACGACGTAATTTAACTGGAATACTGTTCAAAGCGGTTGTAAACACACTCACTCACTCCTCAGTAATCAGTCTTCAGGTACACATATAATTGACATTTGCAGAAATTTAAGGGGGTCTTCGTGATTAACAAGTCATAGTGTTATCTACATAATGCGCACCGTTTAGTAACTTGGAACAGCTTTATGTAATTACATAATCATACTGATGTATAACTGTGTCCTACAATATGACCTGTTCCTGTCCAGTGGGAGCCCATCCTGACAATATGAAGTTCACCTCAGACTGCCGTCGTCTCGTCGTATCTAACGAAGGGGAGCCGCGGGTCGTCGGGGGCACTTTCTATGACCCCGAAGGGACAGTTTCTGTGATCACATTCTCCACAACGCCTGGCGCGATACCAGTAGTCACTACCATCGACTTCAAGAAATACGACCAACCCAGCGAACTCATGTGAAGCACAGAGCCAATGTTTTTTATATTTTAAGAAAAAAAGTCTTTATGGCGCTTTCTAAGTTATTTGAAATCGATAATAGAAATAATTCTGAAATATTAATGCGTATTTGAATGGCATATACTGGTGTTTTTCAGTCCGCTATTGGATCAAGGCGTCCGCTATTGGCTTCGCCGTGACCCTAACGATGCCACCAAGATCATCCAGTTCTCCCAGAACGTTGAGCCGGAGTATGTGGCCATCTCACCCAGCAATGGGTTCGCATACATCACCTTGCAGGCACGTCTTATTTTCAACAGAAACAAACTTAAAGCATAGACGTACGCGTGAGTCTTTATACACTGCACGCTCCTGGTTAACAAGACATATCTTATATCTCTTTAAACATAGGAAAACAATGCTATGGCAAGGATCGATCTGGAGAACGCTGTGATCACCAGCATATACCCGATGGGCAACAAGAGTTGGGAGTTCTTGTCCATAGATGCCAGTGACAGAGACAATGGTGAGCTGTACAATCAGTTATTAACCTTGCTGTGTTATGCGTTATACTGTCCCCTGGAACACAAACGATTACGGTGATGAAAATGAACGAAGATAATTCCTTTGAATTAATGTGACCACCTATCAAAGGTAAGTGACAGTATTCAAGAAGATCCAAAATACATCTGAAAGTTTACACATGCAGTTTATATGTAGACATGCATATTTTGGTTTACCTGTGCAGTTGTGAAGACAAACATATGACTGTTTACACGTGCAGTTGCGCAGACAAACACATGCCTGTTCACACGTGCAGTTGTTCAGACAAAGATATGACTGTTTATACATGCAGTTGTTCAGACAAACATATGACTGTTTACACGTACAATTGTTCAGACAAACATGCGTGTTTACATGTGCAGTTGTTCATACAAACAGATAACTGTTTACACGTACAGTTGTTCAGACACACGTATGACTGTTTTTCAGACATTTGTTTAATGGTTTACATGGGCTGACATACAAGTGACGGTTTACCCGTGCAGTTACGAAGACATATATATTTATGATGTTTTCCACGTGCAGTTACGAAGACATATATATAATGGTTTACCCGTGCAGGTACGCAGACATATATATAATGTTTTACACGTGCAGTTACACAGACATATATATAATGTGTTACACGTGCAGTTACGCAGACATATATATAATGTGTTACACGTGCAGTTACGAAGACATATATATAATGGTTTACACGTGCAGTTACACAGACATATATATAATGTGTTACACGTGCAGTTGCACAGACATATATATATAATGGTTTACACGTACAGTTAAACAGACATATATATAATGTGTTACACGTGCAGTTACGCAGACATATATATA